AAGGAAAGCTGGTGGTCAGACAGCCTCTGCCAAAAGGCTCCAGGTACATCGTGTCCAGCATACCAAGAGGGACGGGACTGACTGACACCAGTGACTCAGCAGCCTCAACCCTGCAGGTAGGGATTCAACTAATAATGGGATTTCTCCTCACTAGTTCTGAACAAACACTCAACTTTTTATATTAATTAATTTCCCTGTTCGGGGGAATACATAACTATTTATTTCAGTATCAGAGCTCACTTCCATCCACAAGTCTGCAAATTGATTTTTTTACTCATGGGTTTCATACAGAATTTAGGAAGACACATTAACAATAAACTATGGCTTACATTTTTTCCTCACAGACTTTTCTTTTTTTAATCCCCCCCCCCCAAAAAAAAAAAGAGTATCTTTAAAAACTTCCAATGTAAAATGTTCCACAATTGGTTTTTATTATATTTTCCAGTATTTGCTTGGATCATATTGAGTAAAAGGATAATTTGTTTTGGTACTAAAAAGAAAAGAAAAAAGACTGATAAAAGACAAAACATTACAACTGATTAATCAAAGTTGTGTGACAACAGTTGTTATCACCCCTTCCTCTCGTTAAATGTACCAGATAAATTGCATGGTATTCAACCAAATAACATATTTATGATACAGCTTGAGTCGGTTTTGTTCTCATACTATCAAAGAAAACATCTACATGTCAGCAGCACTTAAACCTTTTTGTTTCAATCTTCTTCCAAACGTTTAAAGAAATTAATTAATTTGCGTATAATGGACACGCTGAACAAATGCAAATTTTACTTTAAAATGATTCGACAAAAATAGAGTTGTCTTTATGTAAGTGCTACTAACAACAAAATACTATTTTAGAATCTTACAACGAAAGAAAGATAAATGTCAGGTTTCGTGAAAAATTGAGAAGCCATTCAATTTAGCGACAGTTTTCATTTGAAACTATCTATATATTTTTAGCTCCATAATCATTCACTGAGAGAATTTCCATCAAAACGAAAAGGAGCAGTGGATTTACAAATGGTGGCGCTGTTTTCTTTGTAAAAGTCCATCCCATCAACGTCATGAAAGCATTTCATTGTCATCGCAACTAATTCGCAGAGAGGCTGCTGGTTCAGTGTTCGAAGCAATTCCAAAAATGGTACTGCGACATTTGCTCTGAAAAATTCAAAGGATTATTTTTTCCCCGTATGATTTGGGTTAATACATTTCCAAGGGAAATACCCTCCAAAGGGAGACACTTACGTTTCTCCGTCTGAACCGCTGTAATCCTGCGCATATCACAATGAGTCTCCCGGCAACAAAGCCGTCTTGGGCAAGGTACGTGCTCGTGCTTACTGTTTTAACCTCTGTTAGTAACGTACTGACCTCAGTGACTCATTACTCCATTCCCGAAGAAATGAAAGAAGGATCAGTTGTTGCCAACCTTGCAAGTGATCTCAGTCTGGACGTAACAACACTAAAAAAAAGGAAGATGCGTCTTGACATCATCGCTAACAAGAAATATTTGGACGTGAACAAAGACACCGGGGAGCTGTATATTGTGGAAAAGATTGATAGAGAACAAATATGCACCACAAAAATATCGTCATCGTGCTATCTGAAACTCGAAGTGACACTTGAAAATCCATTGCGGATCTTTAACATTGAATTAGAAGTATTAGACATGAACGACAACGCCCCACAATTTAGGAGAGACGCCATTCATTTAGACATCTCTGAGGCGACGCCGAAAGGAGAGAGGTTTTCTCTGAGTAATGCAGTCGATCCTGATGTTGGAAGCAACTCAGTTAAAACATATCATCTGAGTGAAAGTGAATATTTTAACATTGAGATCCAGACTGGAAGAGACGGGTCCAAGTTCGCTGAACTGATCTTAAAAAAAGCTTTGGATCGAGAGCAGCAGGCTGTTCATAATTTAATTCTATCAGCTGTAGATGGAGGAACACCGGCTCGTTCTGGTACTGCCAGTATTGTTGTTCATGTCATGGACACAAATGACAATGCACCTACATTCGATAAATCCATTTATAATGTTAACATAATGGAAAATTCTCCTATTGGAAGCCTTGTAATTGATCTTAATGCGACTGACTTAGATGAAGGGTCCAATTCTGATGTGACATACTCATATAG